TCTTATTCCGCTACAGCATTTTAAATCACTATTGAAAACCGCTTGCACAGAGAATTGTAACTGTTATTCTAAAGTCTAGTTTATGATTGATTTTAATACTGTATGTTGTTTTTATGTATTTTTATATGTCATATTGTACTGCTGCCTCTTGGCCAGGTCTCCCTCGAAAAAGAGATTTTATCTCAAGGGACTTATTGGTCAAATAAAGGTAAAATAAAAAATATCTATAGATATATTTCAATAATGTTCTCTCTTAATAAAGGAAAGCTTTAGTTTTTGATACAATAAATTTGAGCCCAAACTCAAATAACATAATAACCTCACCAATGCTAAATCTACAATATACAGCTAAAGTACTGTTTATGAGGAGTAAATTGATTTAAAAAAAAAAAAAAAAACCTTAATACATTTCAATTTAAATAAAATCATAGCTACTTAAATGTATAAAGAACAGAACAGTTCTTAAACAGAATTGGTAAATTATCTCCATTCTGGTCTAAAAAAAACCCCTCTATTTTCATCTTGGTTCTTAAGAATAAACCAAACTTGAATTCTACCTGAACAGGGGATGTAGGTCCTCTGGGATAAATGGTGTAAACTCCACTCGGCTGGTTGTTGTTCTCTTTGTAGATGTGATTGCAGTCAACAGGCAGCTTAACTTCTTTACAGCAGTGGGTCAGAAGCGGAGCAATGAAAAAGATCACGGATGACAGCTAATGGAAAAGATATAACATTTACTGAATATCCCTGTTCCAAGAAAACTGAGATACATTCAGAAACATGCAAGAATTGAACTAAAAACTCTGTGAAAAAAATTTATGCTTAGAAACAGAAGGAAGGAAGGAAGGAAGGAAGGAAGGAAGGAAGGAAGGAAGGAAGGAAGGAAGGAAGGAAGGAAGGAAGGAAGGGGGTCTTAAAGCTACAGTGTGTAGCTTTAAGACCCCCACTCCCCCCCACTGCTTCTCCCCCTCCAAAAATAAACAGACCATCATCTTGCAAAAATCTTGCAACGTCACCTGTCTTGTGCACCAATCAGGAATTTACGATTCAATGACCAAAATCAGTATCTGCCAATCCCGATATTGCTGATCCCTGATCACAGCATGGAATCCATAAATTCTTCTATACTGTTGCCTCTTGTACATTAAGTCCAGTACATTAGTATAAAATGTGTGTATTGGTCAGAGGGGCCAAAACAATGGGACAGATCATCTGGACAACAGAGGTAAGGGGAGAGGGCATTCTGGAGCTCAGGCAGAAGCAGCCTGAAATCAGTGTAAGGAA